CAGATACATGGACAATTACATTCTCAGCTGAATTGTTCTAACTCTGAAAGGCACTGACAATCACAGGGAGCTGACATGCTTCACTGAGTTTGATTCAGTACCTGTGTGCTTCTCAGAGCAGAGCTGGGACTAGTTAATGGCTTTGTTTCATGTTCCTCATTCTGTTTTTTCATCTCCAATTATAAAGCAACTTTTGAGGACTGATGAGAATACTTTTCTCTTTTCTGAACTCTTGTTTTCCTCCTTCTTAGAAGGTTCTAGATTCTTGAATTCTTGGTGTTGATTTATACCCTTGTCAATGTCCTGGGACATCTCAAGTATAATCACGGCAGCAGTTACAGTCATCACTGAGGTTGCTCAGTATTTTAGAACTTAAACTTCAGACTGTCTTTCTTGATTGGTGTGGGAAGTCCTTCTGTATATGTGTTGCTTTTATTGAGTAATGAATAAAGAAATCGCTTTAACCTGTGATAGGGCAGAATACAGCTAGGTGGAGAAAACTAAACTGAAGTTGGGAGGAAGTAGGTAGAGTCAGTGAGATGCCATGTTTTCTTACTGAAAATGTGAAGAAAGATGTTGGTTTTCTAAGTTAATGAAACAAAATGGTGACATGGAAGGATGGAAGGGAAGTCGGGAAGTCTGGAGGAGGAGATGGGATTGAGGAAGAGTTCTGCTATTTCATAATCCTGAGAATCTTTCTCTGTGAGGATCATCTCTTATGAGAATTTTCACATGGTATCTTCCAGATCCTGATATTTCAGAACCATGTCTTACCGAGAACAGCAGTGCCTAGAGCATCCTAGAGCCATGGAATCCCTTTTAAAGTGTTCAAAAGTCAATCAAGAATTGTGAAACACCCAATTTTAATTCCTTCTGTCAGTTTTCATGCAGAAGTGAATCATTAATATACATTAGAAGATCGGGAAGTGATAAATGTAGCAACATGCCAGATGAAAATGTAGGACTGATGCTTTGTGTCTCTGTCTGTCTGTGTTTCTCTGTGTGCATGTACAAGAATGAGCACCTGTGTTATGTATGAAGCAGTCAGTATTCTATGTGTTTTGGGAGATCCCAGAGCTCCAGTTGATGTGTACAACAGCCAAGGTGGGCTCAACAGCTCTTCACACAAGAGAAGTGTGGGAAATTATGAGTCTTCATGCTGACCACCTAAGGAAGAACATGCTTAGGGCAGGTGTAATTTTAGTTCCTCTATAGTCATGCTAAGCAGCCTTATAATAATAAGCAGATAGCCCAAACGAGGGTGAGGTTAAGTTCCAAGCCAAGAAGCCTCCCCTATAAACAGCATATTCGATTTTCTTCTGTTACAGAAAAGACTTAAGCCTATGCAGCAGACTAGACCCATCTCTGGGGAAAGGGTTGTCAATGATGAAGTTGAAAGCACGGCTCAAGTCTCTTTTAATACTGTCCTTCAGCACATGGGCAAATTTTAGCTAAAAACAGAAATATAAATGGGCCATGAACCAAATATTATCAGTGAACTGAGGCAAAATACAGGACACAAGAAAGTTGTAACAGGGAAAAGAAATACTATCTTCAATCAAGAAAGACAATGTATACAGCTAGGAAAGGCTTGCTGAAACCAAAGAGACAGGAGGACCCACTGAGTCACAGCACTCTACAGTGCTGATGTCCAGACACAGGATATTTCACATGATGTAGAGTCCCAGTCAAGCAAGTCATGCATGGATTTGCATTTTGCTTAGGAAATTCTTGGACCTGCCCCCTGTCAGTCAGCTCTACTCCCTCTGGGCAGGGCAGTCAGTGCTATAAAGAGGTCCTTGGCTACATGACAGCAGACTCCTGGTATTCAAGTCCTAGACTACTTTGGAGACCTGGTGAGTGTTATTTCTTGAGTTGGTCTGTCTTTATAGTCTCCTTATATGCTGCAGTCAAGTTTTAGGGACGCTGTGTGGTGGTTTTTCCTTTTCTTTAGTATGCAATTGAACACGGTGTATTTCTCTTTCATATGCATCTCTGGTGTCTTTTCATAGTCTTATGATTTAGCAGGTATTAGGTCCTGGTTTTCCTGAGCTGTGCTCTACTCTGCCACCCAGACAACCTGCTGGGATGTCACAGTGACAGGAGAGTCAGGGATATTTGTTCTGAGGGTACCCAGGACTTCAGACCTTAAGACTCCTGTATTGAAGATGTTTCTCTGTGAAACACCTATGCTTCATTGGAACAAATTTTTTCTTCTGGAAAAAAAGCATAAAACAAAGGATATCTCACAAAGAAGGTGGCACAGATTGCTGACAGGAAAGGGAAAAGCCAGGCTGTCCGAAAACAGGAGTTGGGGATACGTGCATGAGTGGAGAGAGAAAGGGATGTGATGTTCCATGTCTCTGTCTATCTTCTCTGAGATGATCATCCCCTAACACTGTCATGTAATGTCTTTCAGATCCTGAGCCTTCAGCACGATGTCTTACCAAGAGCAGCAGTGCAAGCAGCCCTGCCAGCCTCCTCCTGTGTGCCCACCCACAAAGTGCCCTGAGCCTTGTCCTCCTCCACAGTGCCCAGAGCCTTGTCCTCCTCCTAAGTGTCCAGAGCCTTGTCCTCCTCCTAAGTGCCCAGAGCCATGCCAGCAGAAATGTCCTCCTGTGCAACCTCCCTCACCCTGCCAGCAGAAGTGCCCACCCAAGAGCAAGTGAATGCTTCAGCAGTCACCAGGACCAAGAGAAGAGGAGGAAATCTGTCTCCTATATCTCCCTAGTAACACTCCCATCCTCACTTCAAGTCTCTCATGGATACAGAAGAATCGTCTACATTTTTGTTCTCCACGTGTCTGTGATGTCCCCTCATAAGGAGGGCATTTCTGTGAGGTGGTTGTGTTTCTACTGAGAATGGTTTTTCCTGGATTGTTAATTGTGCCTCCGATTTTGTGGGGGTGAGGAAGGCAGCAGCTTTCCACCCTGTGCACTCAGAGGATGTTTCCAAAACTCTCAGTCCTTGTTTGTGTTGCTGTCACTGTGGCTTCATTTCCTGAATAAACTACACTCTGGTTGATAGTACTCATGTGATCTTTCATTTCTAAAACTCACTCTATTACCTTTCTGATATGCTCTGGTTACATTGTTTTTATTCTTTAATCTACAGGTCATTCTTCTGTAATCATATTTTGACTGAATTTTAGATCATAATCTTTATTATAATTACCTCGTGTTTGTTTGCTTGAGAGAAACATAATTTCATTTTACACACCTATGATCTCTCTTTTAGCCTGTGATATCTTAAGATTATGCTATACTCAGATATGCATGCATCACTTAGGATACAATTTCTCCCTACACCCCCATGTATTTTGCTCTCGCTTGTCCCCTTCATCTGATGCAATAGTTACACATCTACATCAACCTACCCTTGTTATGTTTTCCTCCTTCAATATTGAAACATTGGTGCCAACCTCGTATTTAAGATTGGATTAATTTCCCTGAGCACAATGACATGCAGTTGCATTTGTTTGTCTGCAGAGGATACGATATCATTGCTCCTTGTGATTCATTTTAGTGCCATATTTTCTTATCCCATTCATTTACTGTTGAGCCATGAGACCAATTATTTAACTTTCATTATTAGGTGTAGTTCTAAAAGATAGATGGATATGTAGGCATCTCTATTGTATACTATATTTGACTTCTTTTCATACAAACCCACATAATGCTGGTGAATCATATGATAGTTCTACTTTAGTGTTATTTCTTTTGAGGAAACCCCACACTGATTTCATATTTGATGGATTATCTAGTCTCTCACAGTCTGACAGCTTCTATTCTATTTCCTCCACTCCTCTGCCAGGACATTTTATTATTTTGATTGTCTTCTTTCTTACATAAAAAGAATGGTCCTCTGGTGTAAGTTTGGGTTCAAGTTTTCTATTGCCTAGTGATGTTAAACATTTTCTTGTTAATGTTACTTGTGAAAACTCTTAGGTATGCATTTGGTCATAATTGAAATAATGCATGCCATTTTGTTGGCACAAGCTGAGGCACCTCATTAATGCTAAGTGAGTGATAGGTTTAGAAGCTGCTGGTCGACATAATTTCCACTACCCTCCCTACTTCCATCTGCAACATCTGGATCATCATTACCAGTACCGGAATCATTATCACAATCCCTGCAAGCCATGACACCAGCTAGCACTGCCTACCTCCGCTATCATTGCCACCCTCTCTGCCATTACCCCACTAGAACAGCATATTCGTGTCCATCACCATTGCCATTACCAAGATCCCAATATCTCCAGCACCAACAGCATCATCAAAGAAATCAAGTAAAATATTTTTAAATGTAGAAATGTGTGGGAAAGGATAGTGAGGCCTTCATGGAACCTACATTGTTTGTTACTGTTTTCTTCATATATTAGTATAGATTTTGATTTTTTCAGGGACCTTTTCTTAATGGCATAAATTGTATCATAGTAAAATATTAAATTAAATGAATAACTAGAAAAATATTATAACTTCATGTTCAGGCCTGTGATTGACTCCTAAAAGTCCTTAAAAATATGCATGTTGATCTTAGGGTCATCTGACCTTACAAGATCATAATACTAAGGGAAACAAATGTTTAACTCAATCATAGCTTGTTAGGAAAAATCTTAAGAAAAGCCACTCTACCAATCCAAAAGAACTCCAATGAGACCACATCAAACCAAATTAAATGCCTGTGTTTAATAGACAGCACACTCCTTGTTGGCTGGGAGAGCATGGTGAGGGGAAGGCAGAGGGAGCACACAGGCAAACCCAAAACCACGTGTTTCTCTTTTTGGAGCAAGATTAAATACCCTGTGGGGTCAGTGCTTTGGCAGGCTGGAAGTTGGAGTCCAAGGGCAAAGCACTTGGTAGACTGGGAGTTACAATTCCAACTCAATATTAAGTTCCAACCTCTTTGGATATAGGGGTGTTAGAGGACTGGGGTCTCACTTTTGACCAAACATCCTAGAGTCCTTGGATATAGGGGCATCAGTTCAAGTCTGGCTGCTTCCTGCAGGCATGGAATGAGTTTGGCTCCTTTTCAGTGAGAGGTATGGTTGGAGTGGCATCCTATTTGCTGTCACTTTGAAATCTTCAGACAGCTTCTTTTTGAGGGAGATGAGAAGGCAGGTAGTTGGAAGAAAAAAATAATGCTATTATTGGCCCTCTGAAATGGGGCTAGCCATAGGATGGGACACAATAGCGGATGAAACAGATTTTAGTTGGAGGTGTCCTTGATCCAGAAGAGCCAGAATTCTGTTGGTAGGTGTCCTTGACCCAGGAGAGTTAGCACCAATGGTGACATCCCAGGAGCTGGTGCAGTTGCTTGGCATTATCTGGAGAGCACTTTGTGAGTTGGTCTTGGCCCAGGCATCAGGAGTGACCTGTAAAATATGCTTAAAATTGGCTGGGGTAGCAAAAGGCTTTGGAGACTATTAGGTTTTGTTTTTGTTTTGTTTATTCCAAACCTGATTTTGATACAACAGTAGAACTTTTCAGGAACCTGTAAGAGAACTAGAATAGATTTACATCTTGGTGTCATAGCAAAAGGCTATTGCTTTGGTTAAGACAATTAAAGTAGTTGGGAACCCTGGATATTTAAGATACACCCGAAACCTGTTAATCCTAGACTGTGAATCCTGCTAGAGAACAGTACTTTAAGTTGTCAAATGCCCTTAGACAGATCTGGGAGGGATAAATGGGCAAAAATGAGACAGCTTTTTAGCTATGCAGGCAATCCCAAATCCTCTCCTTGTCCTTGGAGAACACCAGTCTTGGAAGCAGGGCTTGCTGTTAGCTGCTGAGTATGAGAGGACCAAAGATTTTCGTGTGGGGAAGATTTAGTCTATCTGGCTTGGCAGGATGAGAAGATCGATTCCCAGGTGAAGCATCCAGAAAGATGGAGAGGTAAAAGGCCACTTTTGCTTTGTGGTTTGCTTTGTCAAACCTAGAGGCAAGGCATGGAGACAGAAGGTCTTCTGTCTTCTTGGAGGAGCTAAAGGATGCTGTGAAAGCTGCAAGTCTGTGTTAGAAGCTCTTGTTAAAATGCTATGCCTTCAGATCTGAAAAGGCACTTGAGAACCAGGTACTATTATCTGGTATGGGAGGTCCTTCTGTCTATGTATTGTTTTTATTGGTTAATGAATAAAGAAATTGCTTTGGGCCTCTAGCAGAGCTATAGGGGAACAGAGATAGGCAGGGAAAACTAAACTGAATGCTGGGAGAAGGAAGGCAGAGTCTGAGAGGTCATGTAGCTCTGCTGGAGACAGATGCCAAAACTTTAGCCGGTAAGCCACAGTCACGTGGACATACACAGATTAATCGAAATGGGTTAGAGTAAGATGTGAGAGTTATCCAATAAGAAGCAATCTGGTAGCACACATGCACACAGAAACTTAAATTAAACGCATCATGAAAACATACTTACACACTTATGTAAACATATTGTGGTTACATCATTCTAACAAACAGACAAATAAAGCACTTTTAGAGCAAACACTGTAAGAGGAGGTAAGGGCAAAGGCCACAAAATTACAGCAGAAAGCTTAGAGAAGTGGGGGCAATGGGGGAGGAGGTGGGGAACATGCATCTATAAATCATGCGCTTTTGTAGTGTTGTTTGCTTTAAGTTAGATAGCTCCAATTTAAAAGGATTTTTTTTGTAAAAAGGCACTTAAGGGCAATTTGAAACCAGCTTGGAATTGCAAGAAACCCATTTTAAGCATATGCTTGTGTGACTCAAGTCTGTTACAGCATGTCCGCCAAGATAATTCTTGAGCAGAAAATAAGGCTGTGAAAAATTGAATGTCTGGTGTCCCAGATCAATCAAAGTCACCTCAGCAAAAGTGTCTGGTTTTCACCACATGGGTCAGGTCTCCGGCATGGGCACGCAGCTTTATGGGAGAACCCTAAAATGAATAGGTCACCCCAAACCCTACTGGGCATGCACTTTAATCTTGCCTGGCAGAGGGCATGCACAGGGCATGTGTTTTCCAACACTGGGCCCATGGGGGAAAAGTGTACAGGGGGACACTCCAACTGTTAGGAAAAATCTTAAGACGAGCCACTGTGCTGACACCAAAGAACTCCAATCAGATCAGATTAAGCCATATTAAATGCCCATGTTTAATAGTTGGCACGTGTAAAAGGAGCAGCAGGCTGCATTCCTGCTGCTCGGCTCCCAGCTTCCTGGCTAGCTTATGCCTGAAATAATAACATGAAAACTATATTCATTTAAATACTGCCTGGCCCATTATATCTAGCCTCTTTTTGGCTCTCACATCTTGCTTTAACCCATATCTAGTAATCTGTCATGGCTTACCGGGAAGATTCTAACCTACATCTATCTCAGGTCAGAGCTTCATGGCATCTGCATGACACTGCTTTCTTTTTTCAGCATTCTGTTCTGTGTACTTCACCCACCTAAGGGCTGGCCTATCAAAGGCCAAGGCAATTTCTTTATTTGACCGATGAAAGTAACATATAGACAGAAGATCCTCCTACATCAGGGACACTCCCAGGTGGATGGGAGAGCATGGTGAGGGAAAGACAGAGGGAGCACACATGCAAACCCCAAACCACTTGTTTCTCTTTTCGACTTGAGCTTAAATACCCTGTGGGGTTGCTGTAGTGCTGTATCCATAGTAGTACTATTGGATTATCTCCTAGGGCCTGTGTCGTATCTAGCTATAGATTCTCTTCCCTTTACCAGTATTAGGTATACCCTTTGTCTCATAGAGAAGGGCATTAAAGTCAAGTAGGAAGTGGACAGTTGCTCCCATTGGCTTATGACACTATCACACCAGTGGCCATATCTTATCAAGTCAGTGTTTGTTGTAACTTGTAGTGTTCTGACCTAAGTGAGGTTGGTGAGTACTTTTATCCTTCAGCAGAGAGCATTGCACCTTCCAGTATCATTAGGGCTGGGCAGTAGGGTTGGTGTGTCTGGGTGAGCACCTCCTAGAATTCTCCATGCTCTTTAACCTAAACATTGGTGTCTGCAGAAACAAGGTCTTACCATGAAACTCTGGAAAGTAGACAAGTTACAAGCACCAGTCTGTAAGCTAGTAGAGTTAGTCCATAAGACCCCACTGGCTAGAAACTAAAGGAGGTAAAGTATTACTGCTACACAGCTTTGCATTTGCTGGTATGAGGTATCTACTTGTGGTTTTGTACCCCTTTCAGTAGTAAGGTAACTGGATTAAACATTATATATATTGTAGTAAGCTTTCAGAGCAGTAGATTTCCATATGGCTTTTTCAAAGGGTATTTAATGTTAATCATCTCTCTATGCCCTGGTCTACCCTGCTCTCTCATGTCCTATCACAATGTGAGTAATCCTTTTGCATTATTTCCCTTTATCCCTTTGTACCTTCTGAGTGGGCTATATTCAGAGAAAGAACCTCTGTTTAATTGACCCTGTGTTATACTGACATCCCAGGTCACTGTGCAATTTTGTAATTTGGTATGGTTGAAGTCAGACATTGCCTAAGATCATCCTTTACATGTGATATGCAAACATGGAGAGTACTGAGTCTCCTACTGACCTGGCCCTATGGTATGTGTACTAACCTTTATGAGCCATCCACTGGTGGTGTGTTTCTTGGCACCTGGCCTCAGAACTGATGACTCTTTCCCTTCAGATACATGGACAATTACATTCTCAGCTGAATTGTTCTAACTCTGAAAGGCACTGACAGTCACAGGGAGCTGACATGCTTCACTGAGTTTGATTCAGTACCCATGTGCTTCTCAGAGCAGAGCTGGGACTAGTTAATGGCTTTGTTTCATGTTCCTCATTCTGTTCTTTCTTCTCCAATTATAAAGCACCTTGTTTGGACCAATGAGAGTATTTTTCTGTTTTCTGAACTCTTTCATTTCTCCCTCTAAGGAGGCTCTAGGTTCTTGAATTCTGGGTATTGATTTATACCCTTGTCTACTTCATGGGACATCCCGAGTACAATCATGGCAGCAGTTACAGTCATCACTGAGGTAGCTCAGTATTTTAGAACTTAAACTTCAGACTGTCTTTCTTGAAAATGATGTTTTCTGCAAGTTCACATACTCTGTCCTTTGGAAGAAAGATGTTTTCTTACAGAAAATGTGAAGAAAAAGTTTGCTTTTCTAGGCTAATGAAACAAAATGGTGACATGGAAGGGGAAGTCAGGAAGTCTGGAGGAGGAGATGGGATTCAGGAAGAGTTCTGATAGCTCATAAGCTTGAGATTTTTTTCTCTGTGGGGATCAACTCTTGTGAGAATTGTCACATAGCGTCTTTCAGATCCTGAGACTTCAGCACAATCTTACCAACAGCAGCAGTGCAAACAGTCCTGTGAGCCTCCTCCTGTGTGCCCACCCACAAAGTGTCCAGAGCCTTGTCCTCCTCCAACACAAACAGAGCCTTAAACTCCATCAAAGTTTTCAAAAGTCAATAAAGAAGTAAAAAACACCCAATTTTAATTCCTTCTGTCAGTTTTCATGCAGCAATGAATCATTAATGTACATTAGAAAATCGGGAAACGATGAATGCAGCTACGTGGCAGATAAAAAGGTAAGACAGGCCCTGTCTATCTGTCTGTCTGTCTGTGTGTATGTAAAAGAATGAGCACCTGTGTTATGTATGAAGGAGTCAGTATTCTATGTGTTTTGGGAGATCCCAGAGCTCCAGTTGGTGTGTACCACAGCCAAGGTGAGCTCAACAACTCTTCACACAAGAGAAGTGTGGGAGATTATGAGTCTTCATGCTGACCACCTAAGAAAGAACATGCTTAGGACAAATGTGTTTTATTTCCTTTATCGTCATGATAAGCAGCCTTATGGAAATAATTAGAGGGGAGTCTATATACCCAAATATGTTGTTAGAGATGGCAGTTGTGAAGTGCATCAGGGTTGGTCCCAAGCCCATCAGCCTCCTCTATGAACAGCATATTTAATTTTCTATGATTACAGAAAAGAATTAAACCTTGGCAGGAATCCTGAGTTGTCTCTGGGAACAGGTCTGTCAAAGATGCAGCTGGAAGCACAGCTGGGGTTCCCTGTAATACTGTCCTCCTTTCGGCACACAGGCAAATGTGCTGAAAACATCAATACGAATATGACAGTGCACCAAAGAATATCAGTGAGATGAAGCAGGGCAAACAGGACACAGAGAGGTGTAACAAAAAAAGAAATATTGTCTTCAGTCAAGAAAGGCAACTTAGATAACTGGGGAGGTCTTGCTGAAACTGAAAAGGCAGGAGGGCCCACTGAGTCACAGGGCTCACAGCAATGGTGTCCAGGAACAGGATATTTCCTATTTTGTAGAGTCCCAGTCAGACAGTCATACATGGATTTGCATTTTGGTTGGGAAATTCTTGGACCTGCCCACAATCACAGCTCTACTCCCTCTGGGTGGGGCAGCCAGTCCTATAAAGAGGCCCTTGACTGTGTGAATGCAGACTCCCGGTGCTCAAGTCTTGGACTCTGAGTTTGGAGAACCTGGTGAGTGTTTCTTGGGTTGGTCTGTCTTTATGGTCTGCTTATGTGCTCCAGTCAGTTTTGAGGGACCAAGTGTGATGAGTCCAGTTGTATTCATGGGATGAACAGCAACAACTTAGCAATCAGAAATATAGCAATGGATACAATGGTTCACTGTGAAAGGTGGCTTTTCCTTTTATTTGGTAGGATATGGTACGGAGTAATTTTCTCTTTCATATGTGTCTTTTGGTGTCCTTTTCAGAGCCCTATACTTTAACAGATATCAGAACCTGGGACTTTCCTGAGTTGTCCTTTATTCTGCAACTGTAGTCAACCTGCTGGGATGTCACAAGTGACAAGGGAGACAGGAATGTGTTCTCAAACTGCTCAGGGTTTGAGAACTTGAGATTGTCTGTCTCAAAGGAATTTCTGTGTGAAATCAGCCTTACTTGTTTCACTGAAATAAAGTAATTATTTTGCTTGAATAAGGCATGAAAAGAAGGTTATCTCCCAAGGCTAGAGTCACAGATTGCGAAGAGGAAAGGGAAAGGCCAGGCTGTCCTAAGACAGGATTAGGGAAGATGTACATGTGTGGAGAGAGAAATGGATGTCTTCATCTCTCCTTCTCTGTGTGGATCACCCCTAACAATGCTCCATGTCTCCATTTCTCCTCTCTGTGATGATCATCTCTAACACTGTCATGTAATGTCTTTCAGATCCTGAGCCTTCAGCACAATGTCTTACCAAGAGCAGCAGTGTAAGCAGCCCTGCCAGCCTCCTCCTGTGTGCCCACCCACAAAGTGCCCAGAGCCTTGTCCTCCTCCACAGTGCCCAGAGCCTTGTCCTCCTCCAAAGTGTCCAGAGCCTTGTCCTCCTCCAAAGTGCCCAGAGCCTTGTACTCCTCCAAAGTGCCCCGAGCCATGCCAACAGAAATGTCCTCCTGTGCAACCTCCTTCACCCTGCCAGCAGAAGTGCCCACCCAAGAGCAAGTGAGTGCTTCATCAGTCACCAGGACCAAGAGAAGAGGAGGAAATCTGTCTCCCATACTTCCACAGAACCACTTCCATCTCACCTCAAATCTTGTCATGGATGCAGAAGGATCTTATCCACCCTTCACCCTCCTTGTGTCTGTGATGACCCATCATATGGAAGGCATTCCCCTTTGAAAGTTTTCACTGTGACTTAATTTCCTAAATAAACTACACTGATTGATATTAATCATGAATTCTTTTATTTCTTTTAAACCTGATTTTATTACTTTTCTGATATGCTCCTATTACGTTCTTTTTATTCCTTGATCCCCAGATCATGCTGTAGTAAGCAGATTTTTACTGTATTTTGGGTCATAACAAAGATTGCCTAGTGTTTGTTTGCTTGAGAGAAAGAGTTTTATTTTGCACAACTACAATCTCTCTATTAGCTCATGCTATTTAAGAAGATTATGTGATATTAAGATAATCATGTGGCACTTAGGACACATTTTCTCCCTACACCCCATGCATTTTGCTCTCAGTTGTCCCCTTCATATGTTGCAATAGTTACACATCTACACCAGCCTATTCTTGTTATGTTTTCCTCCTTCATTATTTGAAAGATCAGTGCCAACCACACGGAGTGTATACCTGGTGAACCTAAAGAAGCTAAATAAGAAGGTGAACCCAAGAAAAAACATATAGTTATCCTCTTGGCTAAGGGAAGTAGACAAAATTGCCGGGGAGAAAATTGAGATCTTGGGGGTGGGGTGGGTTGGAGATAAGGGGGGACGGGGAGAGAAAAGTGAGAAGGGGAGGATTGGGGGAACTTGGGGAAA